TTGATATCGTCTTTACGTTGGGAATTCCGGCAACAGAAAATACTGAGTTTGATGGAATATTACTTTTATACAGAATGCTTGTACAATTATATACAATACAGTATATAATAATCGTTTAGTATCATTTAAATGTCAACGAATAAGCCTGATAAATCAGTAATCTTAGAAAATATTAGTCAAGTTCTTGTATACTCAGCAAAGATGCTTCTTAAATCAGATACAGAGAGCAACAAAATATAGAATTCATTCGGTATCGTTTGTTTGAATCTTCCCATTGATGTCTGGGACTGCATTTGATCGGTATCTTATTGACATATGTGCATGCTGTGCTTATTGCCTCGATATTGTTTGAAGTCACAAGCATTGAAACGCAAAGATGTATGGTGATTAACAGTGGAATCCAGGACACGCGTTTCGTCTTGTTTGGGACTCGTCAGCTGAAAGTACATGCGTACCTGAGTCGATGTTCATCCCTTAACTCGAACCCACTATCTTTCGCTTCAAACGCCATCGCGTCATCACTGGATTGCACAAACAAATGGATATCTGGACTCAGGAGCTAATTGGATAACGCAGTGATGTTTCAAGCGAAAAGTACTGGGTTCAAGTTTAGCAGTGAACGTCAACTCTGGTATGCAGGCTTATCCAACTGATGAGTTTCAAATAGGAAAAGACAAGCGTCTTGGATTCCATTGCTAGCCAATATCCACCTTTGCTTAAAATGGAGAATTCGTTACATCTAAAGGAACGTTCTACTTATAAACTGGGATCTGAAGTGTATATTGCAAACATTTGATTAATATGATTACAAAAATCAATAGATTGAACGTCATCAGTTGATGTAAATACTCGAGGAGATTTTATGTCAAAAAAGTTTACTGAAACACTACGCACTCGTTCTTCCTCTCTTTAAGATAATAAACAGAAACATGTATATGAAATTTATAGAAAATGATACGGCCTACTAAAAACGGATAAGTAGTATACTGCAATACACAACAAGGAAGTAGAATAATAAAATGCTATGTTGTGAAGTTGACTGAAAGCTTAGTTTCATATGATTTAAATTTATTCACATGAATAATTCAGTCCAGAAAATGTCAACGAAAATCAGGATTTTATTCATTCAGATGTACGCTTACATTCAGAAGAAATACCATCAACATGAAGTCAAACGAATTCGACCTATTAGAATCATATTGTTCAACTTCTATTAGTGAGAGCCTTTTTCAGTGTTCCATTTGAAGGGCGTATTGGGTTACATTTCATCGAATCACATAATGAAAGTGTTTACTTACTTACGCCTGTTACCCCTCGTGGAGGAGCACAAACCGCCCACCAGTACTGGTTAGCGTTTTCTCAGCGAGTTAGTTTTCTACGGGATGGGATCGCTAACCACATGCCCAATCCTCCTCCTTAACCCGGGAATGGGACCGGCAGTAACTCCATAAGAGCAACAGGCGGAGTTAATGAAATTGTTTACCAACAAAGTATATTACAAGTAAGGCTTTCAAAGTTATCAGTCATCATTTATTGGTTCTTACATAACGCGGAAGATTGTCAAATGTAGGAATAAAGTTTATCGTCCGTAACTAAACAATCCAGCCTGAATAGAGAAGAGGATTAGAAATCAAAAGCTTACTCAATGAATTGAACTATCAAACTGTCTGTTCATCTATTTTTATCTATCATTTTATCTATTTATGAGAACCAAATCGGAACAGCAATCGATACTATGAAGCGATGTGTTCTAAATGATATGTTAGGTGGTAAGGGATAGACGGCAGTAAACCCTCATCGACTCTACCTCGATGGTTATTCGCACAAATCAGCATTGTGCCTCAAGAAACTGATGTATTCAGTGGGACTACGACCAATGTAATCTTGATTCACCGCCGAAGGCGTTACCACTAAGCAATTGAAGCAGTGATTAACACATTGCTGGATTAAGATATTGACATGTTTAATTCTTATTATCAAAACTACTTACCGCAGTAGTTTTTCTCAATGGGCATATTCGATCTACTTAAAACTATTTCTATCATTGACATGATTATTCGAGCCAATACTTTGTCTACTGAAAGCAGTTTCATTCCACACCTTCTAACCAGCATACATAAATAAATGATAATTATGCATCGATTCCGTTTAATTGTTATTCTATACAGGAATTTTTGTTAATATTTTCCATATCATACATTCCATAAGAAATTCTGTTTTCTTCCACAATCCACCCTTTCTCATGATACGTCGAAAATATTGTGCAATAATGTTAAAACTGGTTATTGATCTGTATTTTTCTTAACATCTGAGCTATTTTTGTCAAAATATTTCATAATCAGAAAGGGGTTTTTTTGGAGATTTTAGTAATTTTATATAGTTCAGATCATGAGTCAATTGAAGCTAGACCACCATGGAAAATCTGGAAGCACTGGACGGCCGTTTCGTCCTATTGTGGGACTCTTCAACAGTGAGCATCCACGATCCCGCCTCGAGAGATCCAGTGCTTCCAGGTTTTCCATGGTGGTCTCGCTAGAATTGACTCACGATCTCAACTATATAAAATATTTCATAGTTTTAGTAAACATTTGATGATAGACATACGGAAACTTATATATTTGTGAAGCCGTTTAAATAGCATAACATACAGCTAGAGTTTGTGAATGACATAGTTAAACAACAGTAGGTTTGAGTTAAACACAGTTTGCTGGTTTTTCTTCCTGCCCTAAAGCTACGCTATCACCCAGAGATAAAGCATCAGTAATAAATACAGAATATAAACTAGGAGAGTGAGTTCGGAGAGCAGTATCACTTTGAGGAACCTTCAGTGTACTTCATAAAGACTCTTTTTCCTCAACCCATTCTCATGATGTCCAAGTTTGAAACAGGCAACTAGTATGACTAGAGAAATTGTGAATAGAACGTGGATAATATCGAAGAGTATCCATTAATGAATGTAGTTCCGTAAGACGTTTTGGAGATAGTGCATTTTTAAGTTAGGTTTATAGCTTCACATCCAGTCTGAAACCGTTAGTGTCAACCTAGATTTACAACAATACTCTTCTCACGTAGATGATACAATAAAGCAACAAGTCTTTAATCATGAGCTAACCTATCAGCACCATGAATAATATGATCAAATAGATAAGTACAACTTGGATGAATCAAAATGAGTGTTAACTGTTACAAAATAGATGAAGATTAATTAAAGAGAATCTGAAAATTAACTTTTGAGAATACTTTTGGACAATGAAGTCGATTATGTTACTGTCAACGCTAATAACTTATTGACTTTTTTATATATTTCGCCCCGAAATGCCCTGGTAAGGCAGAGAGTGGGGAGAGTCCGCTCTCTCTCTCCAAATGATCTCACACGTCCCCGCGTATATAGCCTCTGCCAGGGAAGTCGTACTCACTGCATTCTCGTGGCATTACTGTTGTTTACGAAATTGAGAGGATGAAAAGCAAATGTCCGATGCTTTCACCGGGCTGGTGGACACGGCGAGTCCACCTAAGGGAGTTGGAAAACCCGAAGCATCCTATGGTACCTCGGTACATCCTCTCATATCGTCACAACTCAGACCAATACTAGTAAGGAATCTTGATGCGTTGTCGAATTAACAACTCAACTGGACGTTTGTTGCACTTTCCTATCAGCAGTAAATGCGGTAGTTATTCATGTTTTGTGGATTCTTTAAATTTGATATATTTCTTTAGAAAGTACACTTCTGAAATTAGAACCTCTATCGTAATATAATTGAGCTCAAGCACCTGAAACAAACTCAGCTTTCAAAAACCGTTTTCCTTACAGTCTGAGCTTCTAGTCTTTCTTGAGAAACGCATTCACATTACTATGTCCAATGATGTATCATAAGATAAAACACAATTTCCAATCGGTTTCACGCAATAGTTCAAAATCATCAATCTGCACAATCTTATTTCAGTGGCCTGGTTTCAAAATTGCCACTGGTGTATGTGTGTTATTTTTTTGCCTTTTGAACATCTAGTCAATCTTACAGGCTATGACATAATTTCATCGTGGATCGTGGATGCACACTGCTGAGGAGTTCCATAATAGAACGAAACAGCCGTCCAGTGCCTCCAGGTTATCCATGGTGATTTAGCTTCAAGTGAGTCACGCTTTCAACTATGATAATTCCATACATCTGACTTTCATATTACCCAACAATATATGAGTTATTTTAAAGATACGGATATTGACAACAGAACAAAGTTATCTTAGTTACTCACTGATCAGTGGTCATCTGAACATAAAAGTCAGATGATAGAAAAATATAGAAAATTATTAAAACGTGATTACATGCAAGCGAACCTGCATATTGATTTATATTGTCATACACATAAAAAACAACACACACACACTACTTCCACTTCGGGCCTTTATATAGCACAACAATATATGCGTTATCTTAAAAATACGGAACAACCTCTTCTTAGTTACTAACTGATCAGTAGTCATGTGAACATAGAAGTCAGATCATAGAAAAATATAGAAATTTATTAAAACGTAAAAAAAACTTTAGCAAAAAATACATGATCACAGAAGCAAAAATGAAATGAACTCTCTCTCATTAAAATTATTACTAGTTAGTCTTATATATGAATAATGTTTTCTGGTTAGCGTTTTTTTAGCGAGTTGGTTTTCTATGGGATGGGGTCGCTAACCCCATGTCCAACCCTCCTCCTTTACCCGGACTTCGGACCGGCAGTAGCCCCCGTAGGAGCTACAGGCGGAGCGAATGAATAAGAACTGGATAGAACTAGAAAAAAAGGCCCAGGACAAAGTGTGTTGAAGAATGCTGGTCGGCGGCCTATGCTCCATCGGGAGTCACAGGTGTAAGTAAGTAAGCAAGTAATCCACTTATATATGAATAACGAAATTAAAAGTATGCAATTTGATAAATTAAAAGAAAAAAGCATTAAAATATTTTAATTCTAGAGAAAGTATTTCTTATAAACTTCAGTGAAAGGTTTTCATCTCAGTGATTCAATGGTGATGTAACATGTCCAAGAAATATTGGTAAAGAATCATTCCAAATTATTGAAATGAAGAATGGATGATTAACACGAAATTCCGGTACAGGTTTGTGAGATATAAAAGCTGTGCATCTAACCATTTGTGTTGCTGTAGCTGCAGCCGCCACTGCACCTTTCTCATCTACCTATATTTTATAAAAGAAAGTATAAAGAGAAGCAAAGACAAACAATGAAAGATACTATCTACACATTGCCTCGCATAATTAGAAATCCACTTAGTTATGGTAAGCAAAGATGGATAGTGGCTAGCAATGGAATCCAGGATGCGCGTTTTGTCCTATTCGGGACTCGTCAGCTGGATGTACCTGCATCCACTGCTAGCCACTATCCATCTTTGCTTACCATGCTTGTGAATTAAGGCTATATCGAAGCAATACACACAGTATGTCAATTAGAGACTGACCAATTGCAGTTCTAACACATCGATGGGAAGATTCAAACAAACAATACTAAATATCACTTAGTTATTTTATGAATTATAAGATTTCGTTTGATGTAAAAACTACTGTATTATTCTTTTCATAACAAAATTACTGTAATTTAAGTCACCTTGTATTCTATTTCCATAATTCAATGCCACTGGTATTTGTATCTCACGTTCATTGTGATCTTGCTGGTCATTCGCTTATGTACATATTTTGAGTTAGTCTAATGAGAGATAAATAGGATAAGTTCTAGCTCAATCGCTTTCTCTCTCAGATTTCCAGCCTATCAGATCACAGGTCAGTGAAAAGATAGAGTTCTCCCTTCAAAGCCGTTTAGTCATGAATCAGATCCATGCATTATAAATTTCAAGATCGTACTAAATACTCTAAAATGTCTAAAATCAAGTCGAGACAACCCATTACAAACGATTTTGAGCCATGTCGTTCAAGGTCTCTAACCATCAGCTCGCGGATCCCAACCAGGTAGTCTACACCTACCAACAAGGCTCAGTTCGTTTGTCAGTGACTTCATGGATTTGTGCCACGTTTTGGTCTGGTCAACCCTAGCTTTCCTCCAACCTACTACCACACCATAAAACATCGCACGTCGAAGCAGTCGGTGGTTGGGTATAGGATACACGTGCCCAGCCATCTCAACTGATGGATTTTCACCACTTCATCAGTTGATTTGCCATCCTTACCTAGTACCCGTTTCCTGAACACTGTATTACTTACTCGGTGGTCCCAGGATATAGAGTAATGCTTGGAAGACACCTATGATCGAATACTAGTAGTCTACAAGTACCCTTTACTATTACCGACCATGTTTCACTGCCATAAAGTAGGATGGGACTCTATCTTTCCGAGTCCTTACTGATCCATTTAGTCGGACAGTGCATAGACGACTGTCTACTGGGATTCCGTCTAAAAGAGCCAGTTCTGCCCTAGGACTTAATGCTATACCTACTCCAGCGAGGCCACGGGAAGTAGCATCAAGGCTTCCAGATACACGAAGCGTGTATCGAGATGGTTCTTTATTTTGATAAGATAAGGTCAAATGAATGACGCTACTGGGATCCTGTATGCGCGTTTCGGAGACGCAGCACACATTGATGGTGTAAGATTCTAAACTCCTAGCTAAGGAAGCCTGTTGTCCTATTTGGGTCAATGTTCGGACATTAAAAGTTCCTACATGTAGTTTAGAGCGTGGTTTCAGGAGACCACGAATAACGTTCCGTGTACTCGTATAGTGGAAGGGTATTTCTTGAGGGACCTGAAAAGGAAGTTGGATTAATGTTGGGAGCGTGACCACAGAGCCCAAGGGACAACTGCATGAAGCCGGTCGCGTACGGCCATTTGTGGGGGGGGGTTGACTTGTTAGCTTCGTTCTTCAAAGGGCTTTACCGCCAAAGACGGAAATCCGTGAGGTAAGGTGAGGCGAAACATATTTACAGTCGACCTTTCCTAATCCCTTCCTCCCTTGTGAGAAGGCAGCATCGCTGCAGATGCTGGTTGTCGGAAGGAAACACCTTACTGCTGTCACACCGCTCTACAGTCAGCAGTACGACTTCGCCCTCAAACCTTGAGTTGCTGCTTTTAGTCTTACCGTTCTCCATTCTACCTGCCTGGTACGTTAGAACCTACAGGAACATATGTTCCAGCCAATATAGCTCGGTTGGGTCATCACAACAGGCAAGCTCGACCACCACGTAAAGGTAGCAGCTATGGTCCGGTGCTGAGTAATATTGTGGTAAAATGGAGTAAATTTAATTTTATTCTTTCTTGATAATGAAATCAGTTGGGGTAATGGTCGAGAAGAACAACGTATAATATGAAGTGCCTATAGCTCACGATTTTTTGACTAATCAGTATATCTGTATGGCATTCAGATAATTTTAAGCCAGCTTATTACATTCTTCCTTTGACCTAGGTGATTAAACATCAGAATTATTGCTTATTTGGTACATCTTTAATGAAAATTTAAAAAACCCTAGGTTATTTTAATGACAACCACATAAACACACATTGTTTCCTGTATGTCAAACCAATCTAGGATGTAAGCCAACTTCATAACTGTACTTTTTTGATTCCTAGATCCAAATATTGTCAGTATAGAAATCGATCGGAGAGTTAGTATCATGAACGTTTATTGTACATGGCTTATCAAAAACTAATAAATGTGATAAAATGTAGACGGTTTATACAGTTAGTAGGTTTTATTCTTTTTCCACACTATCATTTGCACTTACTTTTGTATTGCTCAGATAAATTGTGTAACGATCTTAAGTGGTTAAGACAGATTCTATCACAAAAAAATATCGACGAAAATTGTGTCGGTAAGAAAATATACTTAATGGTAGACCTATGATATTCTGAAAAGTAGATTAAATTGAGATGAGTGATGCTGTGTTCATGGTAGACCTATGATATTCTGAAAAGTAGATGAAATTGAGATTAGTGATGCTGTGTTCAATTTAATCATCTACTAACGAGAGAGGATTTTCTATCAAGAAAATCAATGATACCGTTTCATAACAGGGATTCAGATGAGGAAGACTGATAAGTTAGACAAAAGCCTATAGTGGAGCACTTAAGGCAAGCAGAAATTCTGTGTCCAGGTAAATATACAAATTCTCGCTGTAGTAGTTTTATTTCTATGATGAAAGTGGTATACACCAATCTAGACTGTTTTTTTATCATTCCTATGTTAACACTGATATGAAGTGAATTAGGGAGCATACTACTTCACGGATGTAAGGCAAGATGAGTCCTAGCTGATGTTGAAATATGACTTCAAGCAGACAACTACTGACTCTGTAAGATGTACAGTACTATATATTAACACAGTGAACGAAATATTGACGTTAACTACTGTTTTACGGAACAACAAGTGAAATCTGAATCTTTAAAGCAATTAGTCCCATTGATTAATTTCGATAATGTAATAAGAAGACAAAGATTATCAGAACTATGTGATGAGATATTAGCGCAATACATTTCGAACAATGTGATCACACATAATATACTTGTTAAGAACACTGATACACATTAAAAAACGATCAGCCAGACTGGAATTGGGGGTTGTTAAGAGTAAACAAGGATAATAATAATAATAATAATAATAATTATAATAATAATAGTAATAATAATAATAATAATAATAATAATATGAAAGCATTTTGAAACCTAATCACTCTGGATAATAAGCTAGGTAGGTTCAAAGAGAGAACAAACTGTTTTTGAATACACAAAGGGTGTTTGAATTTTCCTACGACTAAGGCTTCAATAAACCTTAGTATACGCCCTTTTACACTGTCATACAACACAACAAAAGCCGAGTTAGGATCCATCTTATGGCCTGTTTCGATTATATGTTTGGCAATAGAGGATGATCGATGTTTATCCTCTACTCTTATCAAGTCATTTGATTCTATTTGTTTCTGCAACCATTTTGGTATATGTTTACTAATAGCTAGAACTGACAGCACAACACATCACACAACATTGAGATACTGCACAAACAAATAATGAAACCTAGTTGCATATTACATATCCAACTACTTTTACAAATAGCCAATATTAAAAATTTGAAATAGTACCTCCTCAAAACTGACACATCATTATCTGAGATAAAAAGATATACTAAAAATGTGTTCTTTTACATGTATCTCATTCGCTTACCTCAAAAATAGCTTTATGCATCACATATGATATAAACATTCGATATGAGTTAGAAACATTTGAAAAGTCAGCTGATAAAGGACAGAATGCATCGTTTATTCCCAATTTCCGTAGATGATCTTTCAGTTTTAAGGCACGACCTTCTCTCAATTTAAATTTAGGCAAATACAACTGCAATTTCGTATTTTGAAAACTACTGGATAGTATTGAAGAAATTCCACCATGTTTATACATCGAATTCAATAAATCAGGCAATCCGTTGTTTACATCTGGGAGAACAACTAATAACGTAAACCTGGATAACGGAGTGTTTGAAAAAGAAGGGATCCAAAGTAATATCAAGGAATAACTAGACAAAAAGAGATACATTAATATTTTCAATAAAAACAGGGTGTATTCATACTAGGACATCCATCTTAACTTACAGTTTTCAAAGTGGATCCGATAGTTGATTTTTTTCATAAATTGAATCAACTTTGATTAAGTTAACATCATTTGGAATTGTGTCCAGTGGTCTATGTATTAAGTATTCATTCACCGTACTGTAGAGTCAAATATACCTACCTCACTATACATTTTTGTAACAAAATTCTATCTATAATCCTTGCATAAAATGTGTACCCTTAATTTTCGTTTAAGAATTTACATTACAATCGGGTCACACTTCATCTTGACCTTACAGCTCAAGTAATCGCTGAAATGTGTAAAATAGTTTGTACTTGAGAGTCAAAATGGTCTCTGACTCCACCAATAACGACGTTAAAACACTTTACTGGTTGAACAGATATGAATAAAAATGTCTTGATTAGTGTTTAGAATACTGATATACAAGTATGGCAGCATAATAACATACATTATAATAAGTAGAGCAGTGGTTACAAGTAGTCAACAGTAAGAGTTGTACCCAGGTTTTATGCTATTTGACAACCGTCAGCAAGGTGTACCTGTATCCTTGAGAGAACTGGTCACTACTCATTGATCAATTGTCAATTCACAATAATTAATTTAGTCTCTTATTTCGAACTTTCCACAAAATGAAGAGAAGATAAAAGCAACACACCTTTAAGCTATAAGCCAAGTTCACATCTGTACTCAGTAAATAATCATCACAGAATCCTATACCCTATGATAAATCAATTTAAAGTGTTGAATAAATTGATAATATTGTGGAGAACTCAAAACACTGCAATTATAAGTGATTTTCTATAGGTGTTTGTTATTTAGATTACTACTGAAAACTATTACATTTGTTTTCTAAAAGGTACATCATAAACCAGTAAAATACAATACACTCGTTTAAATACTGATACTCACTTCGGGTTTTTAAATGGTATTTTAACAGCTCGTGACTTTAAGTGGGGTAAACTGGCCATATTGAAATACGATTCCTTATGCATCAACTTCACACTCATTTTTGATCCGTTTAGTTCATAAAACTCGCTAGTATGTGTGTTGTCGTCAGGGAAAGACAAATTCCACATACATAATAACAACACCGGTTAAGATTTTTCGACTAATATGAAGCAGATAAATATAAGGTGTATGCGGTTAGAATGAAATTTATAATTATTAAAAATTAGATTCATACATTCTTTTACCTTTGAAGTATGTAGTAGCTGTTACTACAGCAGAAGTGTCGTTTGTTAAAGAACCATGTGAAATGAGTTCTTGAATTTGTCCTTTAGTTTGTTCACTGATCCACTGGTTTATCCGGTTTCGAGAACCTTCTATGTCAGTCTCAAATGCCACCTTCACGCAAAAGATTGGTATCGAATAGCAAGAACTTACATGTTCTGTTGGAGCATTGTAGTTTGTCTTCAGATTAGCTTTGAACTGCTCTTTCATTCTTACATTTTGTGCAACGAACAATCTATTAGCAAGGATTATCTCAACACCTTCACTAAGTTTCGAACAATCATTCAGAAGATGAGCAATCTCACAATGAACTTGATCGTGTTCTAAACAGTCAGACAAATGCATAGCCTTTATCATCTCGGCTTTCGTATTGTTTTCGCTGCCAGAAAGAACCATTCCGAGGGCAGTATAGATATTGAAAGGGGAGAGAAAAGTATTTTCCCACTGACCTAAACACATTCGTAGGTCTATCGTATCAGAATGAACTCACCATGACTTTCATTTAATATTTGTTCGTAAAACCTGTCGGTGAAGCTCGTAAGCGATTTTAATGCCTCCATCTTGTAGGAAGTAGAAGTCTGTCAGAACAATGACTACCATTAAGTATTCGAAGTGAGAAACGTCAAAGAAACAAAGTAGCAATCGTCTATTAAAGAACTTCAAACTGAGAGTGAGGTTGCTTAAAAATATACTACTCCTACAACTATCTACCTACGAGTATTACAAGTCAGTCAATAGGAAAGTATCTAAATTTACCTTGCCTTCGTTCTTCAGTACAATATTAAATTTCATATGGTGATATGGACGGCCTTTAGCGAACGGACTATCATTAAAAGTAAATACAGTGAAGAAAGTTGCGTAACATATTGTTAATGATGATTCGCACCACTCAATGGAACGACTATATCATAGGTTATAATAATAATAATTATAAGAGTCCAGATGTCTTCATGAACCATGACCTCAATACAAGAGCCAACTGTGAAACATACACTTCTCAAGGTTTCCACCTATGTTAGTTACAATGTAAACCTATTCTTCACCCAATTAAATACACATTCTACTCATAACTGACTTACATCGAAGCAAGTCGTTAAAAAAAAGCCAGATTATATGCTAAATATGAAACGAATACGTTGGAGCGAGTTCAAAAGACAAATATTGAGAAGGTGAAATTGTCTAATCGTCCACGTTTTATTGAAGTTTTGGTAGTAATCCTATATCACTTTACCGTATACTGGAAAATCATGGCATTACGATGTATCGTTAAACGAAAGCCACCTATATTACATATATAACCGTCTGAATACCATACAAACACTAAAGGCTCGAGACTAAGAAAACAACAGCTGGAATTACTAACATGAGCATAAAAACTAGTTACGCAAATGAAGTATTCAGTCAATTTCAGTATGGAAAGGAAGGGAGGCTTGATGGCTTGTGTTAGTCCTGGCAACGATGTATACAAAGACAGAAACGTTTTAGCGTCAAGATGCTTAAAAGCCCTGCGTATGGACCATAAAGTCCTAAAACCTTTGGCGGCTATTGCACGGCAGTGTGCAGTAATCTTTACGTCTTGACTAACGATGACGCCTAAGTCATTGTGTGCCTGGACAATAGGTAACTTAGTGTTATTCATCGTGTATGTATCTGTACCCTGGTGGCCAATATGCATCACAATACACTTGGAAGTGTTTATCGGCAATTGCCAGGTTTGGGACCATTCTGATAATCTCTCCAGGTCATTTTGAATTTCTAAGCTATCGCCCTTGCTTTGTATCGCTCTCCATATCTTGACATCATCAGCATAGAGTAAGACCGATGACGATAGTAGACGAGGGAGGTCATTTACGTACAGGAGGAATAACACTGGTCCCAAAACTGTACACTGGGGGACTCCACTAAGCACAGTTTCCCAGCTAGACAACTTGGAGTTCACCCTTACTCTTTGTCGACGCCAAACTAGGAAGTCTTTTATTCAAATCAATAGATTGCCTCCAATCCTTAGCTTATATTACAGCCGGTTATGCGGAACTTTGTCGAAGGCTTTGCTGAAATCGATGTAAGCTACGTCTATAGGTAACTTTTGGTCTTTAAGAGCGCACCAGCTTTCACGAGCGACTAATAAGTTTGTGAGACAAGAGTAATCTGTTCTAAAACCATGCTGCTTTTCGGAGATGATCCGGTTTTCATTGAGATACTTTAACAGCTCCTTCCAAAAAATCTTTTCTAAGATTTTAACAACCACACTAGTTAGGCTAATTGGTCGGTAATTCTCAGGCTTATGTTTTGTACCTGTTTTGAAGACTGGACTTACCATGGCGTTCTTCCAGTCTTTTGGTAGACGACCCTGGGTTACGGATAGATTAAGACATACACTTAAAGGGTTCGCAACAAAGTTAGCTAATTCCTTTAGTAACCTAGGATGCAGTTCATCGGGTCCAGTGGATTTACCTATATCAGGCTTAACTAGCAGACCACGTGGTTCGACAAGTTTACATTTAGTCTAGAAGAAGTTTGTGTTCTTGTTTAGTGTGAATAAGAGAATCGGTAAAATTTAGAAACAACACAAACGTGAAGCCAGAACAATCTAACAACTGAGACAACAACTTGACAGTCCTAAGTCCCGAATGAGTTACGTTACTTTTCGAAACACTGTTATAAGCAAGTACTTCCTATAGGCCATTCGATGCCCAATATTTTGGCCCTGCAAAACAAGTAGTTGAAATGAATAGTTTTGTAGACCTTCGGCCTTGCCTGTTGTGGTTGATGGTTTTTCTGAATACAATTTCAGCTCGAATAAACATTAACGTATGAACATTTATAGTATGTCGGTCTGCTTATCTTACTCAACAACTAGATAGCTTATATTCCTTTGTTCGAATGTATTTTCGTCACACAACATCTCAGAATTCTGGCTTCATCGGACCCAGTATTGTTTCACGAGATACTTTGGACATACGTGTTGTCAAACACTGAGTATCTATGAGGTATCAATGATGACCTAAGCTGAACCAAATGGTTTGTTCGCATCCACGGTTCAAAGTCTTCGTTTGCACAAAATGAATGTGTCTTAGCCGTTTGATGCAATTATTCCTAGAGAGCTGGTGTATCTTGAGTTTGGTCGAACGGTTGCGTCCCTGACCAGAAGTGTAACTACACCCAGCAGATTTCGCGTTTGAGGTTAAGTGACTGGTCAGCTTCGGCCTTATAATTAAGAAGTAGGTCAATGGATGAATGGACAAGAAAGACACAGAATGGTAAAATTTATCAATCAACAAAAAATTGACAAACGAAAATGTGAATGCTAACAGATGGACGTTGGCGACGAAGCGAAAGCAGTGTAACCCGGGTAAATGATAGAATGGATGGAATCAACAATTACCATGCATCATTCACGTGATATTCGTCAGTATGTATATTTGACGTAGCAAGGCCCCTAGTTGTTATATTACGTATTTGTTCAGCATTTCAGGAGCCAGATGAGAAAATGTGAGTGAATCCAGGAATTCGGAGTCGTTTTACAGTTAGTTACTGGGGGAGAGCATTCAAATTAGCTCTAACTGTTTGAACACTGAAAATCTTCAACTCGATTTTTGTTAAACAGCTTTGTCATTCAAATACAATTATATGAAAGAAGGATGCATTTTTCAATAACTTCTCAGCGTGCACTACAATAATATTGTAGTCCATTTACGTTGATGATCTATGTCAAAATGATCGGGGGCCTACTAGAGTTAGACGAGAATGGTGACGAACCAACTAACCCTGAAGTCACACCTCGCGACCAGCCCTTACGTGGATTGAACCATCGACGAGTCAAAGGATAATGGATGCTATGGAGACTGTACAACACAAAGGACGTTATTACAAGAATATATTAGTTAAGGTACAACTATGGAAGTACAGAAGTGAAAGAATAACCAGTGCAGCATGGGCCAGTCCATGGCGTATGATTGGTTTGTGCGCGTTGACTATCCTTGACCTTGACTAGGGTCAGTGATTTGTTCGATATTCAGTGACCCTACAATACTCCCCCACCAGATTCAACGGCCGTTTGAATCGATACCAAACAAGCTGGGAGTAGTCGAGCGACGGAGGTTGCCAGACGATTAATATGAATCCTCCGGGTATTGCCGAGCTGTAAAAGAAATGGAAACGAGGCTGCAGAAACTGATCGGGAAACAACGAGTAATAACACGTAACAAGGACGTTGGTTGAATGTTAAGTGATCAACCATAGAAATAATAGAAAAAGAAACATTTTGGAGTTTTATCAAGTCGCGTTGAAAAATATAGCTCTGACAAGTGGTTGAGTTCCTCAGGTGAGAAAAGGTAAGTTTGTCGCAAGAGTAGTGATGTCATAGTGATAGTACGATAAGTGTATTGTCAATCGATGCCGATGTTTGTACTGCCCTTGGTACAAAGTGGAAAATCAGTAAGTGTCGCTGACAACTGTTCGTAAGCGTCGATTTCTAGTTATATCTATATTTAACAGACTAATTGTAAGTACAGAAGTATAGCCGTGAAGATAAATCGTGGTTTCCTTGTGCGAAGCTTCTGATCAACTTGCAGCCAGTTTGGAAAAACTGATAACTGCTGAGAAAATCAATAAGGGTCGAAGAAATACAGATCGAGAGCGATAGGTGGCACGATGAAATCTCTGAAAGATGATAAACGGTGGGTGCTGCACATGTGTTTGATGAGTGAACCGAAAAATGTCGAAAAGAACATAAGAAACCAAGAGTGTCACTCTGGACTCATGTCAATGATATCGGTGAAAAATGCTGTCAGTGTTGGGGTCGAGACGACAATATCGTTGTCAGTTTGCAGGAGATGCGCTCGACTGCGTAAACCGATGATTCGCGTGAATGAGTGTCGTCAAACCACCAATTGAACTGGACAGGCTTTATATCGTTGAGTAGTTGAACAGCCGATTGATGTACCGAAATCATCTGTTAGATAACAGCCACGCGGAAACAATGCTTCATAACATAAAAATACGACGTCCAAGTTGAATAACTACAATAGTTCGGATGTGTTGTAATGTCACATCGAAGTAATATCATTTCGTATACTGACAATTGTACTGTACATTCGTTTGGGCATTGTTTATGTAGCAATTGGATGTGCGGTAGCAAACATATACGAAGACTATCGTGGGGTTTGTGGAGAATTTCAGAAGACGTTTAGATATTTTCCAAACCCGTATTGCATGTGAATAAGCCGAAGACGGAATTGAAGTGACTTTCGTACAATAAGGAAATCGAGTCATGATTTACTGTGTGAGATAACAGCAAATACAAAGCGCATAGTAAACAATAATTTAAATGGTAACCACCAATGTAACTAAAGTTTAGGTTTAGATAACGTGATCGTTTCGTTAAAAAATGCATATTATCTAGCTCTAAGTGACATCAGGTAAGACGAAGTGTCTCATTAAGACATGGACTAAGATTGCTCGTGTACATGAAATACGTTTTTTCAGAGTATGTTAACTTACGAGTCATAAATGTAAGTAGTTTCGACCAAAATTTGATTGCAGGGACAGAATGTATGTC